TCCTTCTGGTACTCACTGCTTCAAAGGGTCGTGGAAGGGCAGGGCCAGCCAGCCTCCGTGCATGTCGCGCATGTACTCCAGCATCTCCTCGGCGCTGCGGTCGGAGGAGATGAAGACGATCTCGAAGGGGGCCGGCGGGTCGGCCTCCTCCACCAACTCGCTGTAGAAGTCGCCCAGGACGGGCGTGAAGTCGCGGCAGAGGGAGCACCACGCAGCCGAGAAGTACAAGCCCACCACCTTGTTCTCCAGCGCTTGGTCCGCCTCCACCGCCCGGCCGCTCTTGTGGATGAGGAACCGCCCGCTGAACACGTCCACCATCCTGGGAGAGCCCGCGGGCGCCGCCGAAGAGGGAGGGCGCGCACGCACGCACACAAGGAGAGACGGCGCACGTCTGAAGGGGGGAAGCGACGAGCCAAGCCCCTGGCGGGGAGTCGGGTGGGGGGGAGGTCGGTGAAGGAAAGACCTCCTTATCTCCCCCCGGGAACCGACGACCGACGGAGGGCAACTAACTGGGCTGGCAGGCGAGCGGGCGGGAGCAAGCCACGTGCGAGCTAGGCGGCGCTGGGATTTCTACCCAGACTCCTGAGCATGTCTCTGGAGAGGCGCCAAGACGCCAAGGAAGGGAGAAAGAGGGAAACCGACCTCTTTCGCCCTCGCCGTCCTTTCCTGTTTAGGGTCCTGGAAGAATGGGTTGTTCTCCAAGAGGATGAGGAAGCTTCTCTTGAGCCACGGCCGTCGACCGCAGACGCCCCCTCCCCTCCTTCCTTCCCAAAGGTTCCCTCAGGGAAGCCCTCGACGTGACAACGGCGGTCGGGCCAAGCAGGCGGGAGTTCAAAGAGCCTCCCAAGGTTGCCCAAGTCCCTTAAGCGCCCGGAAAAGCAGGTGCCTTCGGGCTGGTGACGCCGCCGCCGCTGCCGCTGCCTTGGTTGCGAGGGCTGGCCGCGCGAGAAAGCCCTTCTAAAAATAACTCTCGGAAGCCCGACTTAAGAGGAGCCTTCGGAGCAGCCTCTCCCGCGGCCATGTCGCTCGGGCGGGGGAGGCAGCCAGAGGGTCGCCGGCGAAGACGAAGCAGGCAGCAGTGCATTGGCGCACCTCCGAGGAGAAAAAGGACGAGGCAGATTTTCCCGCGGCGAGACTGGCGTCAAGGCTGGACTCTGCCGGTTGCTTGGAACCCTCTCTTTGAAGGTTTCTCACCTTTCCAGCCCAGAAGGCTTTTAACTGAAATAATATCAGTTGTGGGTCTTTATGGCAATTTTTAGAATATATATTTTAAGTGTATTTTAATTATTTTGCCCTTTTATTTTGCCTTTTTATTGTATTTTAAATGCTGTAAGCCGCCCAGAGACCTTCGGGTAGTATGGGTGGCATATAAGTTAAATAAATAATAAATAAAATAAATAGAGCAAATAGTTCTTCCTCCCCGATAGTGGGGAACCTTTGGCCCCTCTAGAGTTAGAATTGGAGGCGCCACCATTTATTAACTGTAATCATTAAATGGATCAACCTCTCCATTTGCAAGCACCAAGTTAGCTCAGAAGTTTCACCCCTGAAGTGGAACATCTGAAAGCAGTAAAAGAGCTTTCCAGCTCGCCATTCTTCAACCTAGAGGTTAAGCCTAGGAGGAGAAGCCCCCAAACCTTGGCTTGTAATAGATTCAAAGAAGTAGACACCTATGCCCCATTGTGTTTGTTGGGGTGGAGGGTGCACCCACTAAAGCTGGGTGGAGCCAAAGGAAGAGCCCAGATTGGTTGGAGAGAGTGGAGACAAAGGGGGCAAGTGCTGCTTCTGCCCAGATGAATTACCCCAGTGATTCCTAACCTTGGATCCCCAGATGTTTTTGGGCTACAACTCCCAGAAATCCTGGCCAGTACAGCTAGTGAAAAGATTTCTAGGTGTTGTAGGCCAAGAACATGTGGCGACTAGAAATGGGCATGAACCAAACTATAAACTGAAAAATCCCATGCCGTGAACTGGGCTGTTTTGTGGTTCAGTTCGGAGTTGGTTTTGGGGACCCAATTCAGCTGAAACAAAAAAACAAGGTGCTGAATTTTTTTCTGCTTGGTGCTTTGTTTTCATCAACATGAATGCCCCATCCCCCTTCCCACTGCCTCTGTTGCCTCCTTACCTGGTCCTGCCACTTCCTCTTCGTCCTCTGCTGCTGCCAGCTGATAGATGTGCGCATGTGCAGAGACAGTGGGCCTGACTCCTAGAAGGGAAGCTGGGCCTCTATCTCTAAAGATAGCAGCAGCAGAGGATGAAGAGGAGGAGGAGGAGGCGGGAAGAAGGGCAGAGAGGGTGGGAGGGTCTTAGGTTCCCCTCCCCGAGGCACGAACTGGGGGGAAAAACCCACAAACCAGTTTGTTTTTCCAACCCGCCTCCCAAATTCATGGTTTGTGGCTCTTCATCTTTTTCCATCTCTAGTGGAGAGCCAAGGTTGTGAATCAGGAGACTAGTCTGTACTGTTTCAAAGCAGGAGAACTTACATCCACTTCGGAGATAAATATTCAATAACAGATTTTGTTGAAGGGGTTTTATCTCCAGGTAACTGTGCATAGATTCCAGGAGTGGGGAACTTGTGGCTCTCCAGATGATGAACTGTAACTCCCATCACTATTGGCTACACTGCCTACTCCTGTGTGGCCCTGCATTTCCGATGGGGCAAAGAGTCATGCTGTTTTGTGTGCAATCCATGCTGTTTTACATATACTGTATTACAGATCAGATACTGGCTTCCTGTAGCTTTCAGAAACTGCAAGACCGTTGTTTCATTAATGTGCACTTTTAAAATATTGATTTGTCAGGATAGCTTCACTTTAGCTTGACTCCTGTTCAAGATTTTCTGCAATAAGGTTCAGTGAGTCAGCAGTGTAGGTGTCAATCTTCGCTAAATTTCATTGGCTAAAATGCTCTTGTTTAGCATAGTTTATTTATTTACTTATGTATTTATTTATTTAATTTATACCCCACCCATCTAGACCGAAGTCTACTCTGGGCAGCTAACAATAAAACTTACTCTAGTTACTTGCAACTAGAGTAGGCCCATAGAATCAATGGAATTTATGGAGGAGTTGACTCACCAAATCTCCACAGCTTTAATGGGCCTATTCTATCTAGTTGTGACTTAATAGAATAAGCAATAGGATTTCAACCAGTGATTAAGTAAAATCAATCAGAGTTTTCATTTACATATTTTGTGGAATTGTGATGCCATCTTATTTTTGTTTTTGAAAAAAAAAGGAATCCTGTGTATCAGATCAAATGCAAAATATGTGTGTGGGAAGTCCTGTAGCACTTTAAAGGTTTGTTTTTGCAGAAACTTGAATGGATTACCAGCATGTATACTGTTCAAGCCTCAGGTGAAGGTGTTCATAAGTCAAGTGGCAATAGGATTTCAACCAGTGATTAAGTAAAATCAATCAGAGTTTTCATTTACATATTTTGTGGAATTGTGATGCCATCTTATTTTTGTTTTTGAAAAAAAAAGGAATCCTGTGTATCAGATCAAATGCAAAATATGTGTGTGGGAAGTCCTGTAGCACTTTAAAGGTTTGTTTTTGCAGACACTTGAATGGATTACCAGCATGTATACTGTTCAAGCCTCAGGTGAAGGCGTTCATAAGTCAAGTGGTGCCTTGACTTATGAACGCCTTCACCTACAAACATTTTGACTTACGAACAGCTCCGTTTGCACAATTTTGCTTTGACTTGTGAACGAAGCTTTGATTTATGAATGAAAAAAGGCAGGGAAAGGGGTGGGAAGTTCAAATATACTAACTGTTGGTGGCAAAGAGGCTGCTTCTTTGTAGGTCTTTCGCTCCAACAGTTTGGGAAAGGGATGCAGTGGTGGGGGTCCAGCTGGGAGGCAAGGACCCATCCCAGCTGGGCTCTGGCTCCCGGCGCTGGGTCCGTCCCTGCTGCTCGCTTCCCAGCCGGGCTCTGCCTCCTGGAGTCCAGCTGGGAAGCGAGCAGCACTGCTGCCCGGAGGGAAAGCTGGGGCTCCGGAGGAGCAGGAGGCAACCTGTGGGCGGTGGAAGCGCAGGAGGCCACCTGGCAGCGGTGGTGGAAGCCTGGGAGGCTTCGGACTGGTAAGGTGCTGCTTTTTCCTTTTTTAAAAAAATGTTCTGGGTGGGTTTTGGAGGGTGGGTTTGGACTGGGGGATTATGTTTCTGTGCTGTGTTGTTTTGTTTTTGGATTTGTGTGTTTTGTGTTTTTTTTTTTTTCCAGTCCCAGTGTGGGACTTGCTCTGTTTATTTTTATTTGTATTTTTTGAAATGCTGGAATGTATTAATCCCATTCCCATGCATTTCAATGGGAAATGGTGCTTTGACTTACAAACGTTTTGATTTAACGAATACCATTCCATTATGGATTAAGTTGGTAAATCAAGGCACCACTGTATTCCCAGTCTACAGTTGTAGAAATGGAATCAGATTGAAATAGGCAATTGTATGTTGATATTTGTCATAAGTTTTAAAAAGGAATAGCTGTATGTCTGTGATCAGTGTTACTATACATTTGTTCTTTTCACTCTAATCCCCACTCCAGTGTAGGTGACTTTGGCGGGGTTTTGAACATATCTTTTCCCCAGCAGTCTGTAAGCATGATATCAGGCTTACTTCAAAACGGCATTGATGAATGAAAGTATGAAGAAAAAACATGGAATATATTTTACCCATGGCTGATGCTGATGATGCATGTGAATCTGAAGAAATGAATTATGATCTATGAAAACTCATTCTAAAATAAATTAAGTCTCAAAGCTTCCACAATATTCTTTTGTCTGTTGCTGTTATGCTATTTTATTGTGCCTTGGTATAATAATTCTTTCCATTGATAATCATTTCTGATGTTTTGCAGTTTTGGGGGTTACATTTTGTGTGGTCCAATATTGTATGGCTGTGTGTATGTATGCACACCACATGTTGTTTAATCTAAACAGATAGACTTTGGCAATATAGGGTCTGTTCTATAACTACTGGATATGGATGTAAGTGTCAGACTGCTAAATGTTTTTTATTGCTGATAAAGAGAAATCAAAAGCACTGCTTTGAAACATTTCCAGTGATGCATTAACTATTGCAGAAACCTGTCTCATTGTTATGCCTTGTGGCATTCTTTGATTTAACCAGAGAATATGTATTCCTCTAGGAATTTTGCATGATCTTGGATAAATAAGTGCTAATAGTCCCATAGAGAAAACATTGAATCTGCTGTAGTTTAGAGATACAGCTCTCTTGTTTGTAATAAACAAACACAAGATCTGTATCTATTTATTCTTTATTTATTTTTCTGATACTAAGTTCCCTAAGCCTCTCTGAGGTTTATCAGTATGTGACTATTTATACAGAGGTCTCAAGAGAGCAAATTAGCTTTTGCTTGAAGTCATATTAGCTGATGGAAATCTAGTAAACACTGTGTGGTTGCTGTCAAGTATCAGTTGTTTAAATTCAAACTCAATTGTTTAAATTCATTTTGCATTCAAACAGAGTTCATTTATATTTCAGTATGTCAATAGTTTCTTTTTAAAATTGTGATTAATTCTTTTACTATAACAGAGATGTCGTTTACTGAAGCAAAACCACAATTCTTGAGAACTGAGAAGTTGGATGGGGGAATCAAAACTTGGAAATTTACCTTGAATGTGTATAATGACATGCTGAAACAAGTAGTATTAGGATGATGTTCAGAAGACGTGCTGGCGCTATGGGCTAAACCGCAGAAGCCTGTGCTGCAGGGTCAGAAGACCAAGCAGTCATAAGATCGAATCCACTTGACGGAGTGAGCTCCCGTCCTTGTCCCAGCTCCTCGCCAACCTAGCGGTTCGAAAGCATGTAAATGCGAGTAGATTAATAGGGACTACCTCGGTGGGAAGGTAACAGCATTCCGTGTCGTAGTCGCACTGGCCATGTGACCACGGAAGATTGTCTTCGGTCAAAACGCTGGCTCTATGGCTTGGAAACGGGGATGAACACCCCTGGACAAAAATTGTCAAGGGGAACCTTTACCTTTACCTCTGGGATTCAAAGCTAAGAGAAAACATAGCAAGAAAAGACTATAATAGCTGAACTTTTATTGCTATTTAAGAGCATCCAATTTATTTAAAATATATTTAACACGCCTTTTTCCTTAAAAGGACCCAAGTCCGATTAAGCACTTTTGAAATTTTAC